CTACAAGTGAGTCAGTATCAAGCAAAACCCTGCACCTACAAAAATGTGGAAGTTGTTGTGATATGTGAGACTGGAGGTACCCCTCCAGGTTCCTTGCAAGGTTCCACATTTGCACACAAGGCTCTGCAGGTGTCCCTGGACAGGAGGACATTGTCCACTGTTGTATTTAGCCTGTCAGTGGGTGACAAATATGTGATGTCCCCTTGGTTTATTTACAGATTGTTATAGTGATGCACTAAGGATGCACAAGCAATTTCTCTTCAGCAGCCAATCTCTTTCTTATCCAGAAGGACTGTATGGAGGTTTTGGGGTAACACTGTTGAATGCCCCTAGATTTACCTTTCACACTTCTTTCAGTGAATCTGTATCCCCACTCTAGCATGCCAATTCAGTTTTCTAGGCTAAGTGAAGTCTCTTCCAAGGAAAGAATGATCCCAGGATGCTTTTCTTATCATAGAAAAGCAGAAAGTTTTCTACTTGCTAAATGGTAGCAGCTCCTTATATCCTGCATGGTGACATAATTTTGTGGAATCCTTGTTTCCTCCCTTGACACTTAGAAGTCCGGCTTTCACTTTTGTCCTTCTGTTTTCCTCAAGGTACCAAGACCTTATTCATATGTCCAGCTTGGTTCTATACTCCAAAGGCTAAAAAGCCTGTAATTCAAAACAGTGTTTCTTGGGAGGAAGAAAAGTTGACAAGAGAATGACAGCTCTCTCAGACAGTGGGTGCAAGAAGGTCTGATATAATGACATGAAGAGAAAACCCTCTGGTTTTTCTTTTCTCTCTAGTCGTCTGTGCATTTTCTTTAAAACCAAAGTGCTTTGTGCCTCCTCCCACTAGCATGGCATAAAATAGAGAACAGGTTTGAGACATGGAGTTATTTAAAACCTCTGATCCTGAAAGTTCAATTCATTCTTAGCTGTTCTGAAAACTATATTTTGTGGGAAAGATGGAGAGTGTTCCATTCTTACAATAAAGACAGGAATCAAGAGAATATCTGCTACCATCCTCTGAGCTTTCCTTGTCAGATGAAGAAGCATGAGACACAGAGTGTATGAACAAATTCAGAAGGATAAACTATTCTTCACTCTTTTACCATAGACTATCCTCTGGCTTTAGCATATGGCCAGGATATCACACAGAACAACGGTTTCTTAATATAGATTAGGAACAGCACTGAGCCAACTGCAGTTTCAAATCCATCTGCCCATGCAAAAATAGTTTCTTACTGGGATCTTCCTTCTAATGCTGAATTATTTCTGCCCACAAACCCCTTCTTCCCAAATAACTTATGAAACAATGCACTTCAAAAAAAATTGAAAGAAACAGAGGGCTCCCGCTACCCAGTGTCCCTACAGTGGCCTGTCATTAGACATGAGGCTCAAAGTCCTCCAAGGTCCTGTCAGGATAACTTTATAATGCTTATTGTCATTGTGTTGATTCTGCATTCTGTGAATATCCATATGCAAGCTTTCTCCTGTAATCAGATTTATCAGAGCAGACTAGTGTCTATGCAGAGTCCCTCCGCAGTTTGTACATTCAGAATCTTTACAAAGATCTATGGCACTCCCCGGACCTGCATCCGCTGGACCATTTCCTAATTTTCCTGTTGTCTATCCAAGTTTTTTTTTTTTTAAGGGGGAAAAAATTGTGCTAGCTTATTTGGGTGCTTGAGGTTTTTCCTCAATCTGGCTGCTTTTTTGTTCTGTGGGTTTTTTTCCCCAATTTTCTTGTTATTCTTTCCAGACTTCTGATATTCTTACTCAATTTTTTTTTTTTGAAAACATTACTCGTATTTGTAAAAGGGAGTGAGGATGTGGGATTAGACAGTTTAATATGACTATTTTCTCTTTTGCATTTTGAATTCAATACTGCAGATCAGGCACTGCACTGCAGCATGCTTCCCAAAACTCACAGGAGCCCAGCTCTCATCTCTCTTGTTTTTGCTCTCTATTGGTTTAACTTTATGCAAGCCTAAGAGATTATACTAATAAAAACTTGAGATGACACATTAGAGAATCAGGTCTATATTAATTTGATTTTTACAAAGCCAAATCTTTTCCTAACTCAGTTCAAAGCACTCAGATTTTTTTCTAGCTGTTCTTCCAAATTATTACCTTCAATTTGGAGCCTGCTGTTGAAGTACCTTGTATATAGCTCAGCCACTTCTACGCTCTTGCTGCATTTTAGTGAGCTGCCTATCATATACATCAGGCCCAGAATGGGGGAAAACCTTTTGGACAGGCAGAAATGAAGCTGTATAAGCTGAAAAACTTTTTGGACAGGCAGAAATTAAGCTGTACAAGCTGAAGTGGCTGTATGAAGTTTCTTACACATAGATAAGTAACTATAGGGAAATTGAGATCGAAATCAAATACTACATTAACAAGTTAACAGGCTATGTAAATCATAGCTGACCATCACCCCTTAACTCAAGAGTATCTATTACAGATAGACTTTTAAAAAAAGTTAGAAATGAATAAGAGGCTCAAAGTGCTTTTTGGTAGTTAAATCATTGTCCAGATACACATTAGAGATTCATCAACGAATGATGAGATTTATGTTTTCCATTAGCTGTTGAAATGGTCCATTAGCCGTTCTTGGTCCCCAACAAGAAAACTTGTGAGTAAATAAAAATAAATTGCTGTAGAGTGTAGCTCACTTCACTCTTCACTGAGTAAAAACCTGGCTTCATGGCTAAGCCTAGAAAGTGGTGCTGAATGGAGTTCCAGCCAGCTGGTAGCCAGTGACAAGTGGTGTTCCCCAGAGTACAATACTGGGGCCAGATCTGTTAAATATCTTTCAGTGGTCTGGAGGAGTGGATCAAGTGCACCTTCAGTCAGTTTGCAGATGGCATTGAGTTGGGCTGGATTGATCTGATGGAAGGTAAGAAGGCTCTGCAGAGGGATGTGAACAGGCTGTGTTGATGGGCTGAGGGCAACAGTATGAGGTTCAAAAATTCAAAGTGCTGGGTTCAGCCAGCCTTGGGGCACATTAACCCTCTGCAGCACTCCAGGCTGGGAAAAGTTGCTGGAGAGTTGCCAAGTGCAAAAAAAACTGGGGATGTTGGTTGACAGCAATTGAACATGAACCAGCTCAGGTGTGGCCAGCAGGACCAGGGCAGTGATTGTCCCCCTGTACATGGCCATGGTGAGGCCATGCTTCAAATCCTGTGTTCAGCTCTGAGCCCCTCACTACAAGAAAGACATTAAAGTGCTGGAGCAAGTCCAGAGAAGGGCAGCAGAGCTGGTGGAGTTTCCAGAACCCAAGTCCTATGAGGAGCGGCTGAGGGAGCTGGGGGTCTTTAGACTGAAGGAAAAGGAGGCTGAGAAGTGACATTACCACTCTCTACAACCATCCTAAAAGAAGGTTATAGCAAGGTGAGGGCTGCTCTTTTCTCCCAGGCAACCAGTGACAGGACAAGAGGCACTGTCCCCAAGTTGCACCAGGGGAGGTTTATATTAGAAATCAGGAAAAACTGCTTCATCTGAAAGCTTGCCATGCACTGAAACAGGCTGTCCAAGGAAGGCTGAGTCACCTGGAGGCATTTAAAAGACACTAAGGGATGTGGTATAGTGGTGGAGCTGGCAGTGATAGAATAATGTTTGGACTTGGTGATCTTATGGGATTTTTTAACCCAAAGAATTCAATATTTTTTATTCTGGATTTTTTTTTAAAAAAAATAATAACAAGCCTTGAAAATGATATCTTGTTGAAAAATATTAGTTAAAACAACTATTAAATTTTCTTTACATTGGGGACATGTCCTGAGACATATGACAAGGCATCACGCAAGTCACAAGACAATGTTTCATCTCAGCTTTTGTTACTTGGTCTAAGTAATTAGCAGACATTTTAAAAGATATGACAACAGACATTTTCCACTTACTCCTACCCTTCTCCATAAGAACTGAAATGCAGAGGGTTCCTGATGACAACCCAGATCTAAAACACACTCCAGTAAAAGATATGAAATAAAAATGTCCAGGGTTTCCCAATTTCCCCTCAAAAAAGATGAACACACAACTATTTTAGCCTCGTTTCCCCAAAAAATGAGAATAAATTGCATGGCCTTTGTGCAATATGTGACCATCCTTCCACTGGTAACTAGTGATTGTATAGTTACCTATATTAAAAAGAGATTATTTAGGGGGAAAATCCAGAGAGATATTTTATTCCTACAAGTGTGATGAAATAGGGAGTCCTTAATTCGGTGATGTTGATGTTAAGTGCAGCAATAATGAGACGTATATTACTTTTTTTATGTACTTAGATATGCACATGCTTGGCAAAAAGTGGATTTAAATCAAGAGCAAAAGTTCTGATGGACACAGCCAGGAAGGGATCTGAATGCCCAGCATGCAGGGGGTTAACTGTATTGCTGCTGGTCTCAACTGGAAGCACATTTCAGGAGGCTTCAATCCCGTGACTTATGGAGTCTCCTGGGCTGCACTTGGTGAGCCTTTAGGAAAGTCATTTTCATAGCAGAAACTGGGTAGAGCAAAGAGACGATAGGTCTTGCCTTAAAACTTGTTGGTAGAGACTGTATTTCACAGAACTACAGAACAGTCGAGGTTAGGAGGGAACTCTGGAGATCATCTGCTCCAATCCCCCTGGTAAAACAGGGCCACTTAGAGCTGGCTGCCCAGGACCATGTCCAGGCAGGTTATGAATATATATATATATATATATAGACACTCTACAACTGCCCTGGGAAGCTTGTGTGACCTGGAGGAGTTATTTCTTAGATTATATATAGATTCTAAAAAGCATATCTAATTGTTCTCACCAAGGATGATATAAGGTTTGTGGTTTATTTATCGATAGTCAAAAAAATATATAGAAATATACTCTAAAAATGTAGTTTTTACCCAAGCTGACAATATAAAAACATTTTGACCAGCCTTTCAGTGTTTTCCATCATATTCACTCAATTATGCTTCTTTTTTTTTTCTTTTTTTTTTTCTGCTTATCTAGTTAACCAGTAATTTTTAAAATACTCATCTTTCTCCTTAGTGTTTAAATTCAGCCATTAATGAAAGATTTGCCAGAATAAAAAGTGAACAATTACTGCTCGGGACAAAAGCTAACAAGAACATTTCTTAAACAGCTAGAATAAAGTACATGGGAACTCTAAATGTCAGTCTTCTGGAAAATAAAGATAATTACATACAGCAAGATTTGCACTCTCACCCATTTTTAATGAGAGGTCTCAAAGAGTGATACAAAGCTTATGTTGTTCATTTAAGTTCTTACACCCTTCACTTTCCTTCTTTTGGTGCATCTTCTCATGGTGAGGCAGCTCACCCTCTGCCTCACAGCTGCAGTGCTGGTGCTAAGCAGGGAGAGCCCTCCACTCCAGCATCTATCCAGCCTGATTCCAGCTCTGTTTCATCCTTCTCTTCCTCTTTGTGTCTCCAAGCATTCATAATACCTCTTACTCCTGGGGCTATCTGCATGTTCTGGTTGCTTAGAAACCATTTCTGAATGGCTACAAAGGATTTTAAAAAATTGTCTTCGATAATTCTCCCACCTCTTTTCTCATAGTGGAGTACTGTTTTAAGTACTGTAAGCAATTCTTTTCAAATTTCATTTTCATTATGGTTAATGTGGTTCTTAGGTTGTCCTCTGATCTTAAAAACAGCATACTTTTTTTTTTTTTTTTTGCTTTCCTTTCCTTTCATCTTTATGGTCCAATGTAACTTTTAGTGCCACAGTTCTGTAGTGTCCTTCTGATGCAGAGCAAATGAAAAGCCATCACAGCCAGAGCCATGGAAACAGGATTTGTCTGAAGGTACAATGCAAAATCACAAAGATCTAGTCCTAAAAATGTCATAAGAACATAAAAAAGAACTGCTCCTTTTATCCATGTTAACTTGATGATGCCATCAAATGCAGAGAACTGCAGGGCCTTCTCAGGTGCTTCAGAGGCTGAGAAAAAAAGAAGTGTGATGAGGTCTTACCAGATTAACATCTTTATAAAGATCAAAGGCTACAATAGGTAGAAGATCCATTGTGAGAACCCAAATAAGAGCAGAAAAAAGGCAAAAAAGCTCTTTGTCTTCACAATGACTTAAATGGACAGAGCATAATTCACCAGTAGCCCTGTAGCTACACTTTGCTTTTTTATGGACACCATAAAAAATTGCATATTTTATGCTGTATATTGATTTTCAATATTCTGATAAAAAAATGACCATTGTTATATGTCCAGCAGAGTATTTTCTAGTACACTTTATTAAATCTGTGGACAGAGTTAATATTTTCAAAAGACAGCACATTTGTTTCACTTTTTAGAACTCTTGAATCTATACCCACATTTCCTATAATTCCCTGGGTCAAATATAAAATTTATTACATTCTTTTGCACTACTAGTGCGTGTCTGAGTCTTATGGATATTCTAGTTGACTGTCTAAAAACATTTGTGAATAAGAAAGCAATAACTTACTATAACTAGCTATTTTGATTGTCCTATGTAACCTGGATCACAAATAAACTCTTTGGTAGCTGAGCAGAAAACTGCCCAGTTATAATGGTTGTGGAAAGGTTTCTGGTTAAGACCAAGAATAGTGACTATTCATTTGTCTGTTGTGCATCTTCCTTATCATCCTAGCTGAGAGTCTGATCTTTCCCAGCATCCTGGCACAGGTAATTCCCTGATAATCTATAGTTATAAGTGCTGAAGGATCTGCAGATCTACAAACATGTGTGAAGTTCATGAAAACACCTGGTTGTGCTAGTGCAAGTCAGGGCTAGAATTCCCTTGCTTTAATGAACACCAATATACAATATTAGTACGTTATTTTTCTCATCTGTGTTTTATGGTATTCCAAAACCAAAACTACTGTGTCAGCTGAAGCTTCAAGAGCTCAGAAGTCAGATTTAGATAATTTAAAAAAAAGTTTTAAAAATTAAGGTATTAGTGCTAAAACCAGAAGTGTGCCTGACACCCTCAGTATGATTACAGAGACTATATCCCTGCCTGGAGGGAGCTGTCTTCAAGTGAAGACACAGCATGATGGACCTTCACAAGGAGTCTCCCAGACTTCACTTATGCTACTATGATTTCCATCTGGCAAGATCTGCTTCCATAAGCTACAAGAGAGAGAATGTGACTCTTCTGTCCTTCCCCTAGGAAGTCACATATGTCTTGCATGCCAGAAGAGCAGGGAGCAGACTAGCCTTTGATATAGGGGAATGTGCTTCCCCCTGCCATCTGAATGCAAATATCTCAGAAGCTCTAATTTCTATCACTCTTCAATTGATTTTATTGCTGCATCATACCCCTATCTTAAAAGCAGTGCTTATAAACAGCCTACATTCAGACTTTTAAATTTGTACGTAAGCAGTAGTTTAAGCCTGGTGAACTCTTCAGTAGATCAGAGAAGATTCAATGGTCACCTTGTTGTTTTGGCTTAGTCCTGTAATCCTATTACTTCTCTTACTTTTTCTGCTAACATTATAAAGAGCAGCTGAGTACTTACATCTCAGTGTCATATACGTTGGGGAAGGAGAGAGAGGGAAAGAAAACCATTTATTTTGCTGCCTCTATTCCCATGAGAACAACTAATCACGTGGGAGTAGAACAACAAGTTCTGCTAGGCACACAGAATCTGCTTATGAGACATCTCTGCATGCTCTCAAGGTTTCATTAGCTTTAAGTGGATTTTTTCCACTCCTCCAGATCATTGTTATTTCAAAACCAAATTTATTCAAAGCAGGGAAAGACACATCTCCTCAAGTATGTCAACTTCAAACTCAAGCACAAAATGTACTATATGTAATTTTTCAATGATTAAAATATGCATCAGTGACAACAATGGGTTTATGGCAAATTCTCTTCCTGCTGTAAGGAACGCTAATAATTAGTGTGATTTCTGTCATCCTTCTAAGACACCTCTGAAACAGGAGTTATTATGGAGAAATTATTTTTCTATATGGGCTGTCTTGCAAAAATAACCAGTTCCATGTTTGTTATACGATTGTCTAGGGAGAGAGTAACACAATAGCTACACCCAATGGCAACTTCACTAACAGATAGTTTTCAAAGAAAACTAGGAATTTCTTACCAGGGACTCAACAAAAAAGGTCAAATATAAATACTTAGGCCAGTTTTAACAGTTGTTTTTTTTCATGAAGATAAATGCATTTCTAAATGGTGATACATTGAGTAATCTTTGATAATTCAAATTTTTCTTGCAATTTATGTTATTGCAATTTATGTTATTATGTTAATGCACAACAGTGTTGTACCTTTGCCTGGTTTATTATCTTCAATCAGACTAACATAACAAATTGAGCCACTTACTCTTCTCCTTACCAGAGTCTCAGGTTTTGATCTGTCTATTCCATTGTTGTGACAAAAGTAGCTTCCAGATTATTAACCACAGGAATTGATGCTATTCTGGTTTTGCAAAGAAAACTGGAAGTGATGCTCTAACATGAATAAAATATGTCTCCAGTTCTGTAGAACATGTTAGCATCTGAGAATATAGGAAACCAATAAAAAAATAAAGAAGAGAGCCCCTATCTTGGCTTCTGAATTTTGTTAGGACAATTATTTTTCCTACTGCAATGTTAGAACATTTTCATGGTAGTCTAAAATTTCCATTTTGCTTTAAGGATAATGAAAAACTATATTACATAGTTTCTCTGTAGGTGTGTGACTACATTGAGTAGAAAAAAGTGAATTTGGGAGCTTTGCTACTAATTGAAACAGACCATGGAAAAATAAAATGAAGAAAATCATAGTCTGAAATTTTAGAGTCATCAGTGTATGGGACACAATTTTGACATCATGAAATGAATGTCAAAGGAAGACCTGAGAAATAGGAAGAAATAAAATAATGGAGTTGCAGCCAATGCTTCTCATGAAAAGCAGAGACCTCCATAATATGATTTTTCTTTAATCTTTTTTTTTAAATTAACATCACAGCTACTTTAAGTTTGATGGATTAACTTTTGCCTCAGAATAAGTGGCAAAATATTGAATTTCAGTTAAGTTTCACTACTAGTAATTTTGAGGCAATTCCTCTAAAATTTAATAAATGAAAGGTTAGAATTTGCATACTGTCCTTATCATTCCTGAACTTGTATAGTTCATAGATGCATTTTCCAGTCTCATTCTGCACAGTGTGAAAGAAAAGGGGCTCATGGTCTGCATCATGCTTTCAGAGCCATGAAATTCAATGTCTCCCCTGAGCAGTTTCATTGCATGATATGTTGCATGTCACAAAAACAAGTCATGTTCCTTCTAGACACATAAGAAGAGGTGATCCTCCTCTGCATCAAAGACCCCAAGATACAAGAAAATATAAAGGTAGAAAAGGTGTAAAGGGATCTTAAGTATGGGATTATCCAATTTTCTTCCCCCGTTCCACTACTCTAGGAAGAACTCAGTCAGGTGCCAAGAAAACCAAAATGACACAGAATGATTGAGCACAAATCATTATTCAAATATACAAACATGTTATCTCAGCTTCACCTAAAAAGACTTAGAGGGGCAGCAAAGCCTCTGCTAAAATCAAGAGGATACTTTCCTTTTTGAAACACCTTCATCATCGTAAAAAAAAAAAAAAAAAAAAGCCTTCATCATTGCCTATGGAAATAAAACACCCTCACTGATTCAAGGTTTTTTTTCACACTCAGCCTACATATTTGCTCCAAGCTTGGAACTGCATTTTAGTTTCATAGCTAGAAGTTCAACCCAGCTGAAAATTCATCATGTGGAAAACCTAAGTCCAAAGTTACTTGCTTATTAGCAAAAATGCTTTTAGTGAGAATCTTGTAGATTGTTACTATTTAACCATATGTAAGAGCCTCCCACACCACATTCCTCAATCAAAGTTCTGCTAAAACTAGTTATGCTGATTGCAATTTGCTTAAAGGACGGTTAAAGGTTGCTGGAAGGATGCCAGTGTGCCTATTGCTGGAATATATGCATTAAAATACCAATGACAGGCAAAAATATAACAGAAACACTTCAAATATAAAAAAAGTGTAATCAGAAAACCCTGCTTTAGCATAAAAAATGATAACATAAACAGGGTTTTAATTTCCCTGCATACAGTAAACTACTTGTTACACAGAAAGATCCCTGGAAAAGCAGGGTTTTTTTTTTCCTCGAGGTTTATCACCAGTGTTAGCAGACACCTTGCAAGGGTGGCTCCTCCTCACACAGCAGTGTCCTTTCGTAGGCAAAAGAAACAGCTTGGTTCTGCTAAGCACATGTGTTCCCCGTGTCGGGAACAGCTCTTCTTCAGGGTTCGTCATTTATCGGGAAAAATGGGAGGAGTCTCTGGTGAGACTGATGACACCTCAGGGCCTCTGTTTTAAATGCACAGCACCCAGGGATTACCCTGTCCCTGATCTGGCCAGCACAGCTCCACTTCAGGCTCTTTCAGATCCTCAAGATAGAATACATGCAGAGAAGAAAATAAGAAAAAATTAAAAGAATCCTTTTAAAGGGGAGCTGGCAGGGTTTTAGATTAAGATCATCCATCCAAGCTGATACTTACCTTCTCTATAAAGATGCTGATGCCTTAAACAAAATAACTTCAGCATTCAGAAGAAGAGAAAGGACTCTGAGCTCACTCTGTAAAAGTTTCCCAGCATAGACACCGTTGTGGTAAGTCCATGTCATAGTCCTTTTCCTACTGAAATGAAATAATTCACAGGAGCATTGTGTTTAGGGAATTAGGTCTGACAAATCAAAATGCCCCATTCTTGCACTCACTGAAGACAAGAGAAGAATTAGCACTAACTCTGAGACAGGAATTTTTTGACTCATCAAGCTTAAACATCAGTTTATAGATGCAGCTTAGCATATTGACTATGACTAACCTATTTGCTGACTTGGGGAACAAAGCAGCAACATGAGCAAATGGCAGCCCATGGTCATGCCCTGGTTTTACCTCTTTTTCCACCTTTACTTCCTTGTACACCTCCAGATCTATCCTGGGAACCAAAGGCCCCTTGTTTCAATTTTTTGGCAAGCCTTTTTATTTATGGTGTAAAGTTCTTCAGGACTGAGACCACCCCCTAAGACCAAACTTTCTCTTGAATGAATCCATGGGCTTGAAGGGTGTTTTACAAGTACATGAAGTGACAGCTTCATAAGCTGAATATCTGACTTTTTATAGCTTAACACAGCAAGGGCCACCACAGATAATGGCAGGGTTGAAAAGGGTATAAGAGAACAGAATTATAAGCAGGGAAGACACTGAGATGGGCTTGATGTTGTGTGTCCTCTTTAGGAAGGAAGTTTTTGGGAGACCTCGCAGGCACACATGTATGGGATTTTTTTTTCCCCCTTGCATATACCATAGGCTGATTTTGTAGTCCTCCTCAATCAAGAGTAAATTAACATTTCCTTGGTAAGGACTGTGGAGGGTTTACATTTAGCCACTTAATTCATCCACTTAAAAGGGTAATTAATTCACAGATACCACCACTTCCTTCAGGCTACTTTTTAGCATGAAACTAATATAACTGGTACCATCAAATAAGCAAAATCGTTTCTCTGAACTGTTTTATTTTTAAGGTGGTGGTAGGGGAATAGACAAAGATCTGAGTCAGCCCCACACATCCCTGCTGGCTGTTTGGTCAGCCTCATTTCACTATTTGTGTTCGTGCCTGGCTGCTGCAGGATGTAACACCTCACTTTGTCTGGAAAGTGAGCAAGCATTCAGAACACATTACTCACAGGCTGCAGCTCCTGGAAAAGTCACCTTCATGCCACATAATTTGCAGGTAGGACACACTGCACAGGGACTGCAGCTTAGCAGGGAAGTCCCCAAAACCACTTGCCCCAACTCCTGCACTATCTTATAGATAAAGGATGCACCATCTCACAGGACAAGATTCTACTTGAGCATAAGTGGTTCATGAACTGTGTCCTGTTAGTTGTCAGGACAATAAAGACCATTACAACCTCATGATTTAATTTCATGCCTATCAAAGAACGTGACAAACTTTCCAACTTTCCTCTTCTGAGGCTACTTTCTCCCTGTGCTACTCCTACAACCAAGGGAGAAGGATGTTCCCATACATGTCTATGAGCTCAGTCTCCTGTACCTGATTCATTCAGTCTCCTCTGATTATAATGAGAGCCCAGTGAGATTAACCCAAAAGTTAATAGCTTTTGCAAAGACTCCTTAAGTGTGCTTTGTTGTCTATTACTGAGCTCAACAACTCAGTGAACATTCATTTCAGAAAGGCATCTGTTCTTGAATTGAAGGCACTACAGATAAGATCATCTGATATCTTTGTCCCAGCCAGTCACCCTCACTTTGCTTTCTAGTCCTTCTAGAAAAATAGGGCATGCAAAAATACTTTGGAGAAATGTTACCCTGGAGTGCTTTGAACACAAGGGATCACTTTCAGAGGCTCAGATGAGATGAGTCCACCTCAAATAATGTTGAATACACCACTGCTTCACTGCTTTCATTATCCCTAAAATTTACTTTTCTTTCTTCACCTGGTTGGAGGTTTTTCCTGATAACCAGAGAATCACAAGCAAGTAAAATATCATCTTTCAATATAAGAGAGATACAGAGAGGCTTCTAGCCCATGTATATGTGCAGACATGTTCATAAACATAAAAAAGTCCTACAGTCTCATAAATGTGAAAGTTTAAAATGTCAATACATTTTAAAAATAAATCTCATGATTTGCAGATCTTTCTAATCTTTGAGCAGTTAAGGTTGACAACACTGTAAATAGCAGCTTCTGGCCAAAAACATAAGGCAAATTTTAAAACTTAATGCAGAATGACATAAAAGATAAATAAAGATGATCTTAAACTTCTGTCAAAACATTCATAAACAAGATAAGCCATTAAGGAAAAAGGTGTTGCATTTGAAATATCTGCTTTCACCATAAAGCAATCTTTCAGATCCACAAGGCAGATTAGGAAAGAGTAGCAATGCATTTCCACCATCTGCCCCAGTGGAATAAAAAGAGAAATATAAGACTTTGTCAACAGATCCAGAAGAAACTCCAAACCTACAGACCACACAGCAGGTGAAAGACAAGAATTTAAGTTTGGGCTAAATCCTCAACAAAGTCATCAAGCCGTTATCATGACTAAAAGCTTCTTGCAGTCAAGTTCTCTTTGCAGCAAATCATTCTTATTGACAACTAATTTCTAGAACAGCTTCACCTGGAGCTCTAGGTTCTTCTTCTCTCAGCCCAAGCATTACCCCTTGCCTAAAGCCTAAATGAACCAAATAGATTGCCTCTTTCAAACCCACACTTTCTATATTATTTCTACTATACTATCTTTGTGCAGATCAGGTGTATAGATTTTGTGAAGGAGCTGGGAAGGCAAACTGCAGCATGTCCAGGCTCAGCTCCTTATTTCAATTGTCCCATGACATTTACTTAACATACACCTGACATTGGCTTCTTCCTGGTACTTATGCTGCCCTCTTCAGCACATTTTATGCATCTCCTTCAGTAGTCTTGTATGATTTAATCCTCTACGTTTCAATTTCCAGGTGTGTCAGACCTGAATGTACATCCAGGTGCTCAGAGAATTCTGTTTTAAGACAACAAGACAAGCTTACAAGTTCATTTAATAAATATAAATCATCCTGAGAGGGTAGGCACAGGGAAAGTCTGCATTTTGTGAGTCATTAATTAGACTTACAAGAAGCCTTTCTTTAGAAGAATTCATGATTTTTTTCTCTTTTATTTAGCATTGATCTGTTAATCATCACCATGCACCTAGACTGCATTATCAGTACTTTTCCTTTGAATAAGGTAATTAAAAGGTATTTAGAAATTAAAAAAGGTATTTTCGACACAGATCACTCTAGAAGCTTGAACTTTGACATGGTCATCACATATACAGAATAAAAATGTGTTTCCCATTAAGGACTTTCCTCTACTATCTGCAATGAAGAATAAGACATGAAAGAAAGTGAAGATTTCTCAGATGCAAACCCCTGATAGTTCAGATGTTTACTTTAGTTGGCAATACCAAATCACGATCTTGAATCCCTATGGAATTATATTTTAAATTGGTGTACTGGGTCTATTTGAGATGGCGCTAATTTTCTCCATAGCCAGGGCTGACATGGGATATTATCAGTGTCCACACTCAGCCAGCAGTGTCCCATGCCCATACAGGTGATGTCCCACACCAGCACCTATGGCAGGGAGAGCACTGAGCCATCGATGTTGCCCTGGGACAGTGTGGGAGCCTGGGGTCCCTAGAGGAATGCACTAGAGTCCCCATGTCATATTCTGTCCCCCACCAGGCAGCACTGGATGAGAAGCACCAACCCCATGGCGTAACCTGGCTCTGTTTTTGCAAGGATGTTTCTGTTCATAGGGTAAGAAGAAGAAATTAAACGTAAGGGCCATATACAAGTGTTGGCTTTCCTGTGGTGCCGTAACAGGAATTTACAGCCCAGGTCTGTAAAACCTTCTGTGAAGAACCCTGGGCTCAGCTTGACAGTGAGGAAGGATGGGCTCATGTTGTCATCTCCATCATTGCAAAGGAAGGTTTTGCTCCTTCTTCCACGCATGAGCTGCAGGACAAAAACAGGTCTGAATTTACTGACAGCTGGGTGCAGAGGCTCTTTAACCACTTTTACCGTGACCCTCAGTGCCTAAACTGTTTAGTTTACACGGCACTTTATCTGTGACCGCAGCTGACCGCGCAGAGCTGGGTGCTTTCCCTTCTCCGCTGCCCATGCCTCTCATCAGACAAGCGCAGCAACAGCAGCATCTAGTGGCAAGTGGCATGCGTGGCTGCAGCAGAGCAGAAACCATCTCCCAGTTAAGGAAGTATAAACCAGGCACAAATGGTCAAGGCTAGAAAATAGCAAACAGCAAAAAAATCTGCAATATTTTTTATTACAATTTTTTATCATGTTTGCATGCATACATAACATATAGAATATATATATATCAAAAATAAGATACTCTTAACTCGTTCTTTGCTTCACATGACTAACACTCACTACTTCAAACACCAACTGATTTGATGACAATATGCTTATATCCTATTTAACTTCCTTAGATTTTTCACATCAGAAGCATAACAGCAGAACTTCAAGGGAAATTATACATGCAATTATAGTTTTGTTAGGTACTCAGGCAGTGAACAGTATGATGCCTCAAGCATCAGAGGAACATTATATGTACAATAAGACATTCAGTTCCCCTGCAAGGACAGGATTCTACCTTGTTTTCCAATGCAAGATTTAAAACAATTAAATTATTATTTTTTTCTCTTTTTCCCTTCTGGCACAAGTCCTGGGTTTTGTATGCTGAATTACCATTGCTCAAGATAGAAGATTTTTTAGTGAAAACATTCAGTAAATCTACACCTCCTTCTTGGCATGGTACTGAGTGGCTGGGATGGAGTTGTTTTCTCACAGCAGCCCATATAGAGCTCTGTCTTAGGTCTGTTACCGAACCAGTGCTGATAACACAGGTATATTTTAGCCATGGCTGATCAGTACTTGCACAGCATCAGAGAGTTCTCTGTTTCTTGGTCTGACCCCACACTGAGTAACCTTGGAGTGAGCAAGGGGCTGGGAGAGGACATAGCAAGTACACAGCTGACCCAGACTGAACAGAGGAATATCCCATATCATGAAACTTCATG